ATTACGATGTGACTCCGATATCATTTATAGTTACAGTACAGGACGAGTTCTCGATTAATCTTAAATCCTTCCAAACATTAATTTTCCGGGTTTCACCATATAGCCTTGTTATCAACAATCTCGTGGCTGGTATATTCGCCCAATATTTTCCCAATGCCGGTGTTATGTCAGCAGCATTCGTTTGTTCTGAAGAATTCCATTGGGTGAGTAAGTTCACAGTAATTACAACTGCTTGGTATTCCATCGTGAGGAATCGACATACTTCGGCCAAATCTTCAAGCTCGTAAGTTGTCTCGTTATCACTTTGTTGCGCGTTTCGCGGTACCTTAAAGAAAAAATGACCGGTTATTAAAAAAATACAAGTACATTCACATATAAATTAATTTCAATAAAATTAATATTAATATTATATTAATATTAACATCAAATTCTTAACTTATTATTTATCTTAATATTATAAGTAATATGAATTAATTTAATATTTTAATTATCAAATAGATAAGAAATGTTATTATTCCTTAATTTTGCACGTGCGCGTATGTGTGTTAATCGTATTATTTTTAACATTGATATAACATTTTTAACATTGATATAACATTGAAGTAATATAAGGTTTAATCAATAATATATTTGAATATATTATCACCAATAAAAATTTGTTTACTAAGGCACCTTGAAGATAATTGCCGGTAAAGAATCGATGATCACGAGGAGGACCTTTTTTTCTTCAAAAGATGCTTCATTTTGCTCCTGTTTGCAAAGAATTACCGATTGTCGCAAAGCTTGTATCAATTCGTGAGAGGAATGCGCTTGATAAATTTTTGTACTGCGCAATGCATCTTTTATAATCTGTAAGAAAGAAAATTGACTTTCAAAACTTACAGTAAAATCAGTAGCATTTTAAAGATAATATTTAATTATATAAAAAATTTATTTTTCAAATCTGTTATTTATTCAGTTATTTATTTCTTTCTTTTTAAGAATTATTTTTTCAATTATACTGATATAATTGTGATATACGCGCCGATATTTTTATTGCTATTTGCAGTTAATGTTATTACCTTTTGCTCGAAATTTCTCGCTTTCATAATTCCCTCGTATCGCAACCGGCAGAAATCTTTCTTTGTGTCAAAATACCATACAATGCCGCCCGACCGGCTAGCGACGTTAGCTGCTATTGTGAAACATAATTGAGTCTTCCCAGAGGCCCTTGGTCCACATAATTCGCATAACTGTCCAGGATACAGGCCACCTCTCAGCAATTCATCCAAACTATTCCAGAATGAGACATTATTAATTAAAAATCAAATACATTCTCTCTTCTTCCTCTGTGTAAAACCATTGTACGATTTATTTTTGAAGTTTCTCACATTGAATATTTTTATTAATCACAATTCAATTAAGGGATAACTTGTAAACGTACCACGTTACGCTAGTCGGAATTACATTACGTTCTATCGCAAGGAGTTGCTTTGCATTTTTTTTTACGCCACCGAATTTCTTCAATATATAGTGCTTTATTTGCAACACATTCTGCAAATAATAATATTTGATTGAATTTATGAATATTAAGTAAATCAAATAATTATTTTCCATCAATCTCTTTTTTTTATTATATATTTTATCTAGTTTATTCGAATAAAAGTTAAATAAATTAATATCCTGGCGGAAAAACTACACTACTACTAAATTGAGGCGAGATTTTAGAAATTATTATGCAGATTTTAGAAATTATACTAGCAGTAGTGGATTAAGAAGTAGACACAGAAATCGATCAATCAGTTGATTATTGTCTTTATATTCCACTATGACTGGTTGATTTTTATGCCTACTTCTTAATCCACTACTGCTACTGTCCATTGTAAATCACGCATTAATTTTTTATAGATATTTGTAGTGGGACGTAAAGCGGCGTTGTTTGTTTGAAAAAAACCTAAAAATTCTCCACTCTCAAACAACACTACTCTATGTCCCACTACAAATATCTACGAAAAATTAAGAATTTCTAAGATCGATCGAAATATACTAATTTTTAAATCAAATATCTTATCGTTAGAATTATCATTGAATTAATTGAAGCAATTACAAATATGTCACGTATATTTTTAAAATCATTAATGCCCGTTTTTACCAATGTAGTGTAATTTTATTCTCGGTTTTCAACTAACTTTTCATCTTTTTCTAGTTCCAAAAAGAGAAAAAGATGAAGAACAAGTTGAACCAAAATTAAAATTAATTTACTTGGTAGAAACGGACATAAAAAAGAAAATATCCTATTTTTCCCCATCTATTTTAATTCTCGATGTTTCAAATTCTTATTCTCGGCATAATTTTCAAAAATGTTTTTACTTTATCTTTTATTAACGGGATACGTACCGTGTGCAAAAGACCGGTAATATTCGTCAATTTAATTGGATCCGTTGAGATAAAATCTACAATTGTGACAACGTTTCTCCGCCGCAAATTCTCCGTTACAGTCTTTATTAAACTTGGATGAACATCTACGTTTAGTTTTACCATTTTTCACCTTTTCGAATATCTGCAAAATCGAAAAATCAGTTCAAAAATCTTCCCTCCAGAAAGAATCTTATAAAAATGTAATATTTATAGTGGCCAATTTATATATGTAATCATTTGACAAATCTTGAAAAAGGTATATGTTTGATATTTGTCGATAGTAAGAGAGAGGGAGAGGGAGGGAGGGGGAGAGGAAGGGAGGGAGGGAAGGGGTGGGAGAGAGAGAGAGAGGGAGGGGGGAGAGAGAGAGAGAGAGAGAGAGAGGAGCATTTATTATGCATATCTTGAATAAGTCCCCCAAACCCTAAAACTAATATATAGAAAAGATTCAATTAAGTATACATCGAAAAAGATCAAATTCTGAAGAAACAATATACAAAGAATTTAAAAAAAATATGAACTACAAGCACATTCTATAAAGATAAGAGTTTACGAGAGTAATAAGCACTCATGCAGAAAACTAAGATATCACATTGATATACATACTGTTAAAACGTGGATAAATATACAAAAAGATGGAACATCTCGAAGAATATGCATTATTGTCGCAGAATTGAGAATTTATACTAATATTACTATGTGAGAGAGAGAGAGAGAGAGAGAGAGAGAGAGAGAGAGAGAGAGATAAAGAGTTCTAGAACAGAAAGAATAGATCATTCATTACGCGAATTAATTTTCGAAAAGCGTTATCTCGCGCGCGCC